ATAATTTATTTAAGGAGGAAAGTCAAGCAGGTAAATTGGTCGGATAAATGTAAATGTTATGTTGGCTCGGACGTCAACGACTCACATATTCAGACGGAGGGTTAAATAGATTTTTAAATAGGATCACAGATTTTTTAATATAAAATTCGAAAAAAGACTGTTTATATGAATATTCAGCATAACAAATAATATACACGGAGAGAATTTTCTCTTAGAATATATCCTGAAAATCACGATAATCGTAGGTAAGGACAATAGGGTATTGGAAGAATTTTATGAGTTCCTCTGATTAAAATATTTATCGCAATAAAAAAATATTAATACGTACACAATAAAATTAATCAAACATATTTTTCATATATCTTATTGTGACAAATATCAATATTTTTATTGTGATAAATATTAATCAGAGAAACTCTTATAAAATTCCTCCAATACCATATTGTCTCACAATTACCAAGATTTCCAGAAAAAATTCTAACAAATAAGAGAACATTCTCTCTATATATTATATCAACTGATGACACGGAATTAAAAAAACAATATAACGGTGTAACGATAAATATTTTGCATCATTTCGCCGACGAAGAAAAAGGAAGAAGGGGAAAGAAGATACTTTGGAGGGGTCGAAGCTGGCGAAAGGTGAACGGAGAATGGAAGGAGATCGAGGGGTGACGCAGAACCATAGAGAGACGAGTGGGGGATTTCGGTGAAGGGGAAAAGGGGAGAATTTAATGTTCCCCTCCAGTGGGTGACTCGAGGGTGTAATTGCCGTAGTGGGCGGAACGGAGAGAGCATAGCACCAAGGGGCGTGGTTCGTTGATTACACCACGTTGATACTGATATCCTGGCTACCAGCTTCCTCCATCCAGCTCTGTTCGGGTACAGTGTCTCCCGTGCTCTCTCTCTCTCGCGCGTCTTACCACGTAAAATCGTCGTGATGCGGATGACGACGACGACGACGACGTGATGACAGCTACCGCTACGAAAGCTCGTCGACACCGCTTAGGTAGTTTTCTCCATCTTCTACTCTCTCGTGCGACTTTCGATGGATCTTATATTGACCCTGTTCCTTTTACGTTTCATTCGTTTCGATAGAATCTTCGATGCAAACATTTGAATATTTTTTGTTTCCAAAACAATCCTATAGGATTTATTTTATTAATTTACCATTTGTATTTTACTATATTAATATTTGAAATTATTATAATTTATAGTAAAATTTTTACATTATTTGTCAGAACCATGCATGTAAAGTGTAACTATTTTATTTGTTTGTTTGCACGATATTTTTAGTAAATTTTTAGTTAGAGATATATAGTTAAACAAAATATCAACGTAGTCATAAAAACTAATGTTTTTAGTTGTTTTCTCTTACTCACTTTTTAGTTATTATTACCAATAAATAGTAGAACTAGCATTAAGACTATAGACATATATACTATAATTATAATTGTAATTATTATAAAAAATAGTTTATTAATTTACCATTTGTTACTTAATATTTTACTATATTAATATTTGAAATTATTATGAATTTATAGTAAAATTTTTACATTAATTGTCAGAACCATGCATGTAAGGTTATTTTTACCAACGTTATAGAAATCATAACTATAAAAATGAAGATCCCAACTATAATTATTTTACTATGCAATTATAGTTACAAGTATTATACACTTTTCTCTCAGTGATATATACCCTATGACTTCCTTCTTAAATCAAATATAAATATGAATCGATTAACGGAGGAAAAACACCGCATTTGCATATCGCGTAAAAGGGTAAACTTGCTGATACAAATACGAATCAAACGGAAAGCAGCAAGGGATAAATAAAGAAACGAACGTCGCGCGATAGGGCTGAGAGACGATTGTCGACTCAACGAACGAGACGTGGCCGTCCGCGCCATCGGCGATCCACGCCCCGCTGACTGGACTGTTTTTTATTGCACCACCGCACCCGAAAGATCGACCCGCAGGAAGTTTCCTCTTTCGTCGGACGGAGAGAGAGAGATGCGGAAGAAAGGATCTCGCGAGGCGGGGACGAACGAGTATTAAGCGTCAGAGTCCTGCGTCCAATCCATCCGGTCGATCTGGCTGAATCGAGAGCGCGAAAACGAGGTGGTTGGAAAAGCCACCCCTTTCTTTCTACACAGTGTCGGTAACGACATACTATACCTTTCGATTGCCATTTCGGATACGCGGTTTTAATGCCGCAAGGAGAACTTTGCGGAGACACTGAAAATTTTTAGTATCGTTCGATACTCAAAATAGGATGCTAAAAAAATATTTTATTTTTATATTCAAATGTGCACAAGACTAAGAACAAAAAAAGATGCATAGGTTTCAGTGTCATATGTCCCAATTGCAATTTTATGAGATGTATATCAGCTTGACGCAAATTTTTAGCGGAACGATTTATTGGTCGGATTAAATTCGAACAGCGAGCGGACTCGTAATTTTTTACGGTGTCATCGCGACGCGCTTTCGATTTCCGCCCGGTCATCGAGTCTCATTTAAAGAGGAGGCGATCCTTGTTAAGCGGCAAAACCGAGAGAGATCGACTGCCTGACCCCCGGGCGATACGCCCACTCGATACCGCGCTTTGATCCACGGACAAATATCTTCTCGTTTGCCATTTAGCTTCTCGCGTTTGCCATTTAGCCGAGCCGAGTCGCGCCTTGAAGTGTTAATATAACATAGACATCCAAATATTTAATGAATTAAATATGCTGATAATAAAATTGCTCGTCGCACCAAGTAACAGCTCTACTGCTAAATTAAATAATTTATTTAATCTCAATTATACAGGGTGTCCGGTAACTAACGGACCAACGATTACAAATGGATTCTTTGGTCAATTTGGAAACGATTTTTCCTCAGCGAAAAAGGTCGTCATTTTTTACAACTTTCCAATATTTGTCATTATGTATCTTTATAACTAAGCCTCAAATTAAAATTTTATTATAGTAAACTCTACCTGAAATTAACTGAAGAATGTAATTATGTTAGACTTTTAACTCCAAAATTATTGACTTCTCAACATTTTTGCTAAGGAAAAATCGTCTCCAAATTGGCCAGAGAATCCGCCCTTAATCATTGGTCCGTTAGTTACCGGACATCCTGTATACTTATATTACATAAGAAACACAGATCAAATTATGTGAGAGATGGATGTGTGATATAATTGAAGATTTGGTGAAATTCAACAAATATAAACGCGACGATAAACCACCATGACGAAGTTGCTATCTGACTTTGTATTTTAGGAATTATTTCGTAGTCAAAGAGAAGAAAGATTCTTTGGTAAGCAATGCCGCCGCGCCATGCACGCTGTCTGCATATCAAGCCGTTTGTAAGTGCATACATTGCACGCGTGTATGCGTATTATCTCTCTTCTGTTCGCAATCGCACATTGTCATCGATCTATCTTAATCTTCAAGAATTGTTTTAAGGATTAACTTTATATTGAAAATTACTCAAATATATGATATATAATGTATGCATATGTGTGTTTGTATATCTCCCTTGCCTAAGTTACGCTCTCTCGAAATTAATTAAAAATGGTTTAAATATATTATACATATACATATTGGAGAAAACTCGGACACGTGACACTCGGCAATCGATATAGGCGACGGAGCATAAAGCGAGCGAATGAATTAATGATGTAACCGCGGGTGTCTGATTACCGTGCGCTTTCGGACACGCCGGCTCGGTTAAGACGAAGAGAGACAGGGTTGTCGAAGGGGCGCGCATTAGCGCCTCGTTTATTATTCATGTGCGAGAGTTAAGAGCGCGCGCATATATCTGCCTACCTATTCGTAATTTCTGTGCGCGCACGACACGAATTTCATTTCGACGCGTGCATGCGGGGAAATTGTCGCTCACGCGTTCGTGTTTCACCCCTGGGATCGTTTCATTTGTGCACCCTGCGGTAAGATGGAACACCCCATCCGTACATAGGTTTCGGTAATATTCGTCGAATGGGAATATTATTGTGAAAACCTAACGCACAAATGTACAAATTTACTGGAAGCGATTTGTGTTAAGGGAATAATTTATGCACGATGAGGAAAATAGAATAACAAGTATTGTGTCTAAATAAAAGGTTTAAGAAAAAATATATCGATTTCATTTATTTTTTATATAATTGGAAATATTACTCAAACTTTACGCAATCTGACTATTCATTTTTTATTTCCAATAATATATCATTGAAATAATTTTTTTTTTATTTTTAGATCAATTGCAAGATATGTTCGAATGTACATAATTAAAAGAGTATGATAGCTTTTATTTAATTTTAAGAATAATTTGTTTGAGAGAAGATTAAAATGCGTTCAAACACATATCAAAACGCAGGAGGATTTGTCGTGATGCACGGGATCTTTCACCTGGACGAGAATACCTACACGAGGCGCGTTAAAGTAATATGGGTGTGACTGCGATCGTATCGCTTCGGTTTGTTTAAATAATCGAACGTTTCAGGACCGGACAGCATATCTTCGTGTCGGCATCTGGCCAGCCAATATGTATGATAATTTTGACATGCCTACACCTCATAATGGAGCCCGACTATGTGCTGCACGTCCTTGGTCTCCGTTCCTTTAGCCTCGTTCTATGTCTGTACTACGACGTCTCATCTCTTATACGCAAGAAATAATAGAAAATCATATGCAAAAATCAAAACATGGAGTTCTCAAAGGAATCTCGAAGAAAAATCAACGTATATGATTTTTATTCTTTTAATTAGAAAATTATAACATTATTTGTAATCGATGTGTGAAAATCTATACTCTAAAAGTCTATATTCTTTTCTTTCAATATTTGCATTTAATATTTATATATAGAATTTAAATTTAGAATATAAATCTTAAATCTTGTTAGTTTAGTTATCTTTTATTTATAATTATTTAATCTTAACCTTTTTCATATTAAATTTTATATTTGTATTACATAATACATACGTATGCATATATATATATATATGTGTATGTGTGTGTGTGTGTGTTGTGTGTGCATGCACATTTTGTATTTTTTATGCCTCAAAAAGTTCCTCTCTAGAATAAAGTAAATTTATTTATATTTCATTTTTTAAATTAATTCTGTTCTAAATAATATCTATATATTGCTAAAATAAATTATTTTTCTCATTTGGGAATTGAACTGACCGATTGCCAGTAAGTAAGGCCACGATATTCAAATGTAAATGTTGTCGTGCAAGAACAGCACTTTCATCGATCTGGTGAGTTTGTGCGGCTAGTCGTTTGGTGACAGCACACATCTGTTATTGTCGTAAAATCCTGAAAAGCATCTGTTATTACTTGGTTGTCACTCAAAATTTCCTATATTTTGAAACATTCAAGCTAAATATTCCACAAATGTTTTCACTCTTCAACATGTGTGATAATCAGTGGTAAATATTTACGAGTATTAATGATGATGTTCCTTTATTAGTACAGCAACGTTTCGACCACAGATCGGGTCCTCTTCAGGCTGATACTAATATCAACTGTCGAAAGTGTTACCATAAAGCGACCAAACAACTTCGGTCGTCACTTCAACATATGAACCCCAACAAGTTATAACATTAACATGTGTGATAATGTTGCAACGGCCGAGCTTCCTGCTCATTTATCGCGTGACTTTCTGCGTGCTTGTCAAAATGAAGACATACATAGAATGAAAACTTTAGTGGATAAATATGGAATACGCAACTGGAGCGACCTCCGTCATTCAACATCTGGTGATACAGCATTGCATTTGGCGGCACAAGCGGGAAATATACATATTGTGAAATATCTGTGCGAGTGTTTCGATATGCCGGCATTTAAAATCAATGTCGCCAATAAAGATATGAAGAGGCCTTTGCACGAAGCTGCACAATTTGCGCAGAAGAATGTTTTGCAATATTTATTAGAAAATGGTATTAAGTTTACGTCTATTTCTAAATTAATTATTTGCTATGTAATCTTATATAATTTAATTCTAATCAAATACAAAAGTAATGTACAAAATATTTTAGTTACTAATATTCAATATATACTAATATTTGAATTATATTTTCTTGCAGTTTATTTAAATATAAATTACTTCTTTCTTTATTTAAATCATTTTTAATTAATTTATTTTGTATTTTTAAGTAATATTAAGTTAAATTATATGAGAAAATCCTTAAATATAAATTATATAAAATTACCATCAATCGATTCAGGTGCATCAGTGGATGCTTTAAAACGCGGCGACTGGACTCCTTTGATGCTGGCATGTACCAAAAATGGTCCAGCAGCCTGCCAGTGCATCAACGCTCTTTTGTCTGCTAGAGCTGACGCACATTTACGCAATAAAGATGGCTGGACACCGTTACTTATCGCTTGTCGAAGTGGTGATGAGAATGCTGTCGAGATACTGTTGAAGCACTTGCCGAAGTGCATCGACGATCGAAGTAATAATGGTCGCAGCGCGTTGCATATTGCTGGTAATTAATATATATATTTGTGATATGTTGATTTCTTTTTATATTAAATTAATTTTTATATAAAATTTATTATAAATATTATTAATAATACAACTATATTCTTACACACACAATATATATATGTGTATAATTAGTTTTATAGAGAAAATTAATGTTAAAGAATTATAGAAAGAGATTATATGATTTTGCACGAAAATTGAGAATTCTATCAATTAAATTAAAATTGAAAAAATAGAATGTTAAATTTACAGAAATCACGACTACCCTCAATAGAGAATTCAATATCGAGTGGAACTGAAACCTACAGTAGTTAAAGCCGTGTACAACAGGCAATGCTAGTAAACCTGCTTGATACACGAAGAGTTTATCCAGCGAACATCGTGATATTTATATATATTTTTTCAGGTTTTTCTATTTTATTTTTTAGGATTATATTAAGGATTAATTTTATTTAGATAAATTTTAGATAAATCAAAATCTAGAAAATAACAATCATTTAATTTAAATATCATATAATTTATATCATTAAATTTATTTTTTTTCTATGTGTATGTTTTTTGAATCTTTTAAATAATATTTGATACTATTTCTCTATGAAAAATGTGCTTCAATATTTCCTTTTTCCAATAATTCTACATTACTTTCTAAAAGTATAAAAAAATTGCATGGTAGTATTCATTTCAAAATTAGGAATGCATAAGATTGAATTGTTACTAATTAATGTCAGTGCTCTTAATTATTTATTTCTCATCTCTTTATAAATTTTAATTTGCAATATGACCTATTTCAATTCTTCAATTGTTACAGCATTTCACGGTCACGAGAAAGTGATCAACTTACTCGTCGCATCATGTGCGAATCTCTTGAACGTACAAGACTCCTCAGGCTCTTCGCCACTTCACGAGGCGATGAAACAGGAAAATTTGAATGCAGTGAAATGCATTGTACATCTGGGCGCTGATGTCAGCCTTGTAGACAATGTCGGTCAATCTATTCTACACATTGGCGCGCTGATTGGAAATTCGAAAGCTGTTAAATACGTTTTAAAGCAGCATTGGATTGATGTAAATCTCCAAACTTTTTTTGGGATTACACCGTTGATGATGGCTCAAAGAAATAATCATAGCAAAGTTATCGAGATTCTAATTAGATATAACGCTAAATAAAATTTTTATTCGTAAATATTTGTATTATGTATTATTACATACATATCTCCTTTGAAAGTTTCTTGTAAGAAGAGATTATATAAGCGTAAGTAATGTGAATCAAACGTCTTCATCTTTTTGATTTATACTTTTTTGCATCTCTTACGAGAACATATATATAATTAAATCTTTTTTGTTTGTAAAAATGTTTTCGTAAATCTCTTTTCAATAGAAAGTTTCTTGATATGATTATAAATTATGTTCGATTCTCGACAAAAACTTCAATTATTATTTAGGTTGAAGAAAAGATTTAGACGGGTGGCGTTTTTATTCAGAGATTGGTACACATTTATTTATCCTTTGTTTTTCCTTGTATCAGACAGTTTTAAAGAAGCATACAAAAATCAAGAAACGGAGGCTCTTATTAGTTCGGAGATACCTAGGATTTACATTCTTCTTCGTTTTCTACCTTTATCCTTCCTCCTTTTATTTCGTTAAACTTTCTTTTTCAGCGTGCGCAGGCAGGCGACGTAGTACAGAAAACTCATGCGCTTGCTGTTAAGTGTGTGCGTGCTGGACACTGCGAAGCGTCTCTCTTAAACTCTAGGACGCTAACGTAACATAACTGGCAATTAGTATTAACACGTCGCGGCACACAATATCTCGCGCAATTTTTTAAAAACTAAATAAAAAAAATTTTTTTTTAACTTAAAAACAAGAACAAATAACTGAGAACCAAAAAACAAAATATAATATCGACGAATATCAGTTATTGATATAAAATTTATAATAATTGTATAAGAAATAAGAGACCAATTAGCAAGAAATTGGTATTTGCGTCTGAGATATCTGTATCGACAGTTCCGGTTAGCGTTCTAGCGTTAAGTATCACTTACATCACGAAGGAAAAACGTAAAAAGTAAGATCACAGAATTGTACGAATTCTATGCGATCGTGTGAACTCTAAAGGTCAACGATTTCGCGGCTTTCGATTCGAGTGTTACGACGATTTGGGGAAAGGACTTGATCAGAAGCGGTTTTTATTCAATTTTGTCCCTTCTATTGATATCTCTAAGTAATCAGCAACTTTTAAACGGTCGCACTCTCTCATCGTAGTGGAGATACCGATGGTAGGATAAGAATTAAAGCTACCGTAATCATCGCGCCTACTGCAGAGACCGCTATTTTGATGCCCCATGCGATCACGATGTTGTTGAAAAATAGAAGTAAAAAGGTTGTCAAAGTAATTTTTTTCGCGCGCTGTGAACTTTCACGTTCTTTCTCGCTATCTTTTACTTTCTCACAGTAAATCACAGTATATATACAGTAGAGGACGCAAATATTTCGCAGGAGGCTACAAAACGTTTCGACGGTCCTGGAAGGTGGCGATAATTCGACGGGAGATAATTTTGGCTTCGCTCGATGCATTTCGTCTCTTTCACTCCGAAACGAAAGCTTATCCGCTAAGTATCTCACAGGACAAAGTTAGGAGATTTACGGAAAAAGAGAGAGTTTTCGAGATGAAAGATTCGGAGAGGAAGGGAGAAAAGTAAAGGATCGTTACGCAGAATGAAGGAACATCTCTGATTGGAACGATCAATTAATCTTGGGCTTGTCTCGCTCTCATAGCGAGAAAACGGACCAGGATAAGGAGAAGGAATAAAAGGAGAGTGTGATTCTGGGGCAGGGATTGGGAGGCGGAAGATATTTACATTTATAAAACGGCTAAGGATAAAACATGCACTGTACATCGTCTGTCCGTGTCCAATCAACGCCGCACACATATCTTTTTCTCGTCCTTTGATCCTTTCTCGCGCAGCGATACACGTGTGGACGAGTGTGTACGATTACGTTTTTGTCTTGTATTTCTTTTTTTTCTTCTCAGGTTTTAGCGAGATATCTGGATCGTAATCCGTAAAATCCAATTAAAATCCGTTAAAATTCAATTTAAACATAAAACTATATTTGCAGCGATCCTGTCTCATAAGATTCGCTTGAAATATTATTTTATATTTAAAGCAAACCAGAGTGAAATGAGAAAAATCACTTTAGATATAATTTTATAGTTGAAACAGATATTGGGGGAAAAAGATCGCTTCAGATATAACATTATATTTAAAATAAATTCTAGACAAGGAGCACACAAAAAGGATCACTTTAAATATAATTTCGCGGACTAAGACGGACTTCGCGAGTTTCGATTCCAGCCGTCTCGTTTATCCTTCCGTCAGTCGACCTACTTTAGTAGAGTTCGTTATAAATATCCAACGATTACTTGGGCTCTTTAATATTTTACTTCCTTCGCTTATTTACACATTAACTAATACGCGTTGAGACTTAAATTAAGATTCGCCTTGCGCGTCCTTCACGCCGCGTCACCGATAATAATAGCTCGTAATAGCTTCGCTACTTACTAGTAAACTCGCTTAAACCTAAGGTATGCTTTACTTCCGCATCTATCGGTCATCATCCCCGAGTCTCTCGCATCCTCTCAGCTCTCTCGATCTATCGCGCTCGCGCTCCACTTTACAAGTATTCAACATGTACAAAGCCTTATTTACATTATGTACATATACGGTTCTCGCATTCGGAGTCATTCGCAATATTGATAACGCTTAGCGTGTCCTCGTGCAGTGCCCGTGTTTCGTGCACGCGATCAAACTTCAGTCGGGAAAATCGAGACAACGCAGTCGGAGCACTTGGGACAAGGACACGTTTTCCGAATTTCATTCTCATCGCGCTAAATGCGTGGATGTTTGATTTTTCTATCTCGATTCGTCGTGTAGTGCTAAAGATGCATCGAGAATGCGGACTATCGGTCTCGTCTAACACACTTTCGGACCCGTGCTTCCATTTCTGGACTCGCACGAACGTCAAACGGATGGAATGTGGATGCTTGCAATAATTATCTGGCAATTAGATGTTACACGGCTGAGGTTCGCAATTTCCGGTCGTAAAAAGTATACGTAAACTAGTTTTTTTTTTCGAGATGTGCTCACTGTTCAATCAGTCATGGCGAAACTTAAACTCTAAAGAGTTCGTAGTTTCTCAATCGCAATTCGAAGAAAAAAATAGGAAACATAGGTCTGGCAATAAAATCGAATACTCGATTCATAAAGGTATGTCTATAGTCTTAATTTTTATGATTTTTTTTCTGTAATATTTGTATATTCATTATAATGTGATATTTTCAGAGGCGATTTTCTAGGGTATGATTAAATGATAATTTTCACATTCGCAATATTCTAATTAGCCGAATTTAATTTTTCACAATTTTTTTTACTTGTATGCCTTTATATTAATAATACTTTAATTAAATAATAATCTTTCCATTTGTAAAAGCTTACATAAATTCACCTTAAATTTCATTTTCTTTATTTGTATTTTTATTTTTTATTGAATGAAATGATTAAAAATGTTAAATTTTTTCGGAAATAAAATTATTTTAGCATTCTGCTTTTTCGTATCAACAACGCGTATAGTCGCCTCTTATGTTATTCAAGATAAAATATATATATTAATCTTTCCAATTAACATTAAATGCGATTACAGAATATCTTGATAGATAACTTATTAGCAAATCAATGTCTGTAAAGACACATTTTTCGTGTTGAGTGCTTTGAGAAACCATTGACATATGTTTCGAAAACACTGGAATGAGCAATAATATGCTAAAACTGCTCGAGATATATTTATACACACTTAACATAGCTGGTACCCTTAACGCGATTATCACTATTACAATTCTCCTATATGCGTCTTTCGCACGAGCGAGAAATAAATCATAAAACAACCACGAAATCGCGACAAAGCGGACAAAAATACGTTGAATCTATATTACTTGCTAACGAAATTTTTACATTACTATAAAATTACTATTTCTTTATTTTCTTCGAATCAAACAAATCAAATTAATCTTCAAATCGATAAACTAAAATCTATGTACTAATTTCTTTAAAGCCTTTATCTCATATTAAAATAGCCGTCGCAAAATAAAATGTAAACGATAAACGAAATAAATGTTAAAATTCATAAGCAAGTATATAGTCTTCTTTTACAAAAGAAAATTATTTCAAGTATTTAATTATTGCGTAGTTGATTCAACGTAGTTTTATCCACAATGTACCATATATTAAGAGGACTATCGAGGCTGACTTTCGATATTCTTCTTGCCGTCAGAAATATTGCCCGACGAAGATTCTCATGGTTTCTGTCAATGAGGGCGACGAGAGGTGGTTAGAGAACACAACAAACCTCCACTCGACACAGTTTCCGCTCGCGATATAAAAAACACTCGCGGATGATAAAAATAAATAGCGCGCACGCGGAATCTTTTAGTTACACGGTTAGCTTAACTCACGCGTTCTCACGTACATACACGATTTTGTTTTAAAAATAGTAAAAACAGTGACTAAGTATTTTCGCGCATTTTTCCACGTCGTTCGGGAAATCCGCTTGTATCACTAGTATTTACCAGCCCAAATACGATTTCTGGGCCCTTCTTGCCGTTCCACTCTCTTTCTCTCCCTCTCTCACTCTCTCTTTCTCTCGTCACAATAATAATATATTGTTACTGTATACATACATATACATACATATATATATTTATTTATCTTTTAATTTATAAAAATAACGTTCTGGGACTAAAACGCGTAACGTTTTAAAACGGCGCGCGACGAGGAGCTGCCATAAATACGACCGATAAAGGCGCTTCAGCTATTGCCTCTCGATTTTTCTTTTGTTTTTCCAATATAGGAAGAAATCTAATTTCCGGCCATCATCGCCAAAAACGCGCTCGTTATTTGCTCGTCGAGACACAACTCGGTAAAAATTCGCGTGAGAGCGACCAAGTGTCAAGACGAAGTTTTATAGAATCGGCTTCAGACAAATTATAAATATATAGCTTCTTTAAAATATGAATAAATGAAAATTATAATAACGGGCGTTTTTCTTGGTGCAGTTTATATTGTAGCTAAAATGTAAATTTTTACTCTGTGTTTCCTACATTTTTTTTAAAAGATCGTGTTTGCAATAAACTCTTTAATTTCATAATAATCAATTATTCCAAATTTAAAGATTAATATAATGGTTTATAAATTGTTTATCATTAATAATCATGCTAATAATGATCGATGATAAAAGTATTGCATTCAATATGGAATAGTCAGTGATATAAATATTATTTGTATAATTGTGCTCTTATCAAAAATTATATAAAATGATTATAAAGCAGATTCGGCAAATTTTTTTCTTATTTGATTAGATAAAATACTTAAAAAAAACTCACATAAAATGATTTGTAATACGTACATGTATTACACCAATATAATTAGAAAATACGTGATTATTCATAAAACTCAATATGGTAAGGAAAAACAATTTTTATTATATATGTTTCGACATTTATATTATGTATATACACTAAATATGTATATACACATATTGCAATTTCTAAAATTTAGTAGGAAACAGTAGATTCTGATATTTGGTACTTACGGAAAAAAGAAAAGAAATTTCAGATCTAATTGAACGTGGTAGTCCGCCGCGCTCGTCTTCACCGCGCTCGGCTACATACTATATTACTGTGACTTGACTCTCGGCTTCTCGACTGTGAAATTGGGTTTCGTCGTCAGTTAGCGACACTGCTGCGCATGCGCAGACGTAGTCGGAGGTGGGGATCAGTCTAGCGCGAGATGTGCATCGTAGTGGATGCATGGGACATACGTGTCTAACGAAAAGGATGGAAGGAGAGATATTGGGTCTGGTTGAGCGAGGTGCTTGACTGTAAAGTTCGATTTTGCCGTCAGATGGCGACACCGCACAGTGTCTTGCGGTCGGTGTCTGCGGTGAGTGGTGGGCATCAGCAGTTTTGCGTGCAATGTACAGCGCGGTGGACGTATGCGCGAGTCTAATGAGAGAAGTTGTTTAATTGAATGATTCTTATAGGAAATTCTATTTTTGATTCGTATTCTCTATTAAATATTGAATGTTTATGCATTGCACAATTAATCAATATATTTTTATGCATGTATTGCAATTTTTAATATTATGGAGGAATAATATAAATTTGCTTCACGTTTAATATTCAATTATTATATATTAAACGAAATGATATATTCTATATCCTTTTTTTTCTATTATGTTTCTTTTTACACATCAAAAAACAATTTTAATTTCTAAATAATTTTTTATGTAATTCTCTCTCAACAATATTTTAAGAAAAGATAAACAAAAACAAGCAATACTACAAAAATTTAGAATGCATAAATCTGAAGCCGGTTATATTTCTCATATTAAAAATTATTAAATATATTTTATATGTATTTTTCATAAATATTATTGCATAAGACAGATACTATCGAGAGACGTTGAAATGAAGCAAGAAATATCATTAACTTGCGATGAGATCGTTTCAACTGCATTACATTGTGTCACGATATAAAAAGATATTCTCTGTTTTAGTGTTATAATAAAAAAAAATAGTGTCATCAACATTCTCGATTCAATTCTCATAAATTAATATTGCTGCAACAATCTCATCCCACATTAAGATATTTCGATTCCTTTATCGAGTCGCGTTGTAATCCTGCGTAAGGATCAAGATACGGGCACGTGTCAATCCTCGATTTGTCGACGACACCGGCGCATCGCGTATTCGGCCGGAGGCGATATGTCTAGATCTATATTACAATGCCTGTTTTTTTTTTCTAAGAGTTGGGGAAAGTCACCCACGCCTGGAAAGCTTTGCCCCGCCAAATACTTACAGTATAATATAGATTCGAAAATGATTGATAAGGGCGATTCTCATTCGTCGCACTGCGACGAGATATCATTGTAAAATAATATGTAATATATTACACAAAATATATAAAATTACACTTATTATTTATGTAACTTTACATATTTTATGTAATTTTACATATATTTTTTACAATGTATACGAGGTGTGACATTCAAGCGATGTATTAAACGCAATTCGCCGTAGCTAGGCTAGATGCAAATGATACGTATATCACGTTGTGATTTACACGTGGTTTACATACGGCTATACGGCGAACCGCGTTTAATACTACGATCAACGCGACACCTAATATTGCCGTACGAGTGACGACTGAGCCGCCGATGAATCCACTTACCATACTGAATGCCAGCTTACGATACGCGGTTTGTCGTGTTCCGTAACCCTTCCCAACCCGTTACAATCAATGCGGCGGTAGCGCGGGTCTGGGAAGGGTTGACGCAGATGTGCCGAGTATCGATGATGCTCACGTAATATCTCCTCCCCCGAAGTCCGTCGCGTACGAAGATAGGATCTGTTTCGATTTCGATAACACTAGGATGTTATTGCTATAGGAAATATATTGGATAAAATGATTTCTAGAAACGATACGGCACGAATATATTTGCCTGAACAATTCGATATCTATTCAAAACTGGAGAAATATATTTCTCACAATTCGCATGGACCGTTTCAAAACATGCGCATTTTATAAAAACTGAAATCCACAAATATATATATATTTATATAAACTATTAAAATTTAAGTAAAAAATTGATTCATGAAATTTCTAATAAAATTAATGGAAATTTCTCGAAATATTTTAAATGCTGAAATGTATATTCAACACTGTTATAGCAAATATATAGTTATTATTTTTATAGCATCGTAAATTAAAACAATTAATATAAAAATGGATAATTATATACGACAAATATTGTGCAAAAATTTCCACGAGCTGCCTTTAACATCAAGATATAACAAAAACTTTGGTTCATTCGCGCTCGTATGAAATCCGCAAGAACATCGCGCTTCAATCCAGAATAAATCTTTTCGAAATCTCCGATCATCGTGTCGCTTCGGACTTCGCAAAGCTCCCATCCTATCAGGATCTCGTCACGATCCGGTTTTTACCCGCGCACTTCAGTTCACCAATTCCAAACGCCCGGCCACGACGGGCACGTCGTCGTCGTCGTCGTCGTCGTCGTCGTCGTCGTCGTCGTCGTCGTCGTATTCGTCGTCGACTTAGCTTAAACGAGAGGTTCGCTACAGTTCTATTATACAGAATCCGCGTCGCGGTGGTACGAATTCACGCACACATCAATACAGATGTATCCTAAGAGACGCCGGGTTGGACAACGTGGCAGCCTGGTTGGACACCCGTCGATCTCGCATTCGCTCTCTTTCCCTTTCACACTCTCATTCTCATCCTTTTTCGTCCCGCTCGTTCCGTGGAAGAAACGACCGATCGAATTCCACCTGAACGGAGACAAGGGCGGCGCTCCCTAGAACGCTCGCGATACGTCGATTATGGCTAAAACGCGACGGTCCGGCCATCGAGACGCCGTCGCGCTTACGCTTGAGCTAAAAAAAGCGGCACGCTCTACATCCCCAGCGGATTCCCCGGATGGGAAAATCGACGCGTGATTGTTCTCTCCAGGAACGAATCGTTATCACCGTCGCCATCCCTCCACCCAGCCACCACCATATAATGATTCCCGGACAACAGGCGAACCGTCCAAACAGCTCGTCCCGCTTAAGTAGGGTCCATCAAGACAGAGTCCTTTCTCCAGCCTGGGTCCACAGGACCTAACACTCGCTGTAGGACGGCGGCGGCATACCGCGGCCCGTGTACATGTCCGTCTGCGGTTGCAGATGGCAGACGACGGTGTGACCGTCCAACACGGCCACCGTCCGCGTGTGGTCTTGCTGCGGCGGCATCCCGTACGCCGCCGGTAGCCGCGGCAGGTCCCCGAGTTCGTACCTGGTCTGCTGTCGGCGCAGCTTCTCCCAGCAGGCGTTCAGAGTACGCTCCACCGTCGGCCCGTATTCCGTCGAGTCGTAATGCCCGAGATTGCCGCCGGCGCTGCCGACACGCTCCGTCATCGCCTGGCCGTAATGGCCCAGATTGCGATCGGCGGCGGGTGAGTACGGGATCAGCGGTCGATGATCGCCGTAGCTCCTCGAGGACTGTCTACTCATGTCGCTCTGTCGTCGGCCGTCCTCGTCGGACATGTCCGAGACCTGGATCTCGCCGGCGCCGACGACGCCGCCGTTGCCGTTGCCGCCGACGACGCCGACGCCGACGCCGCCGCCGACGCCGACGCCGCTACGCTCGATCTCCTCGTACACCGGGTCGTCCTCGTTGATGAGGCCGCGCGGTAGGTGCACGTGCTGGCCGTGGTGACCGTGCAGCTGATGGTGGCCGGGGCCGCCGTTCCCACGACCGTCCACGATCTCGGTGTATGTGTGATTGTACGGCATCGCGGCGCGTCTACCGCCGCCGGTCGTCCTGGTACCGGCGTTCATCTCGCCGCCGTCGTTTGGCCCGCGTCTCCTCCCGGAGTGGCCGAGCGTCAGGGTGTTGTGCGTCCGCGGGGAGTCCTCCTGTTCGGAGCCGCCGTGTCCGGAGTCGCGGGAGTAGGACTTAAAAGAAATGTTCTGCGCAGAGAGAGTCAATGTTTGGCGTTAGAGCGATGAGAGACGACGGAGGAAAATAATGTAGCGTGAAATATGATGATTTAACACTTTTGCGTCCATTAAATTCCAAAATGCATTCTAGTGATATTGTGTTTAATATTATCAAAAATGACATTTAGTAATAGTACATCTAAGCTGGCTATATGAGTTAAGTTTCATTAATAAACTCAGTGAAAGAGATTCATTAATACTATTGTGATATTAATATAATGCACAGAGAAAATTTTCTCTTAGAATTTACCCTGAAAATCATGGTAATCGTAGGACAATATGGTATACTGGGAAAATTTTATAAGAGTTTCTCTGATTAAATATTTACCACAATAAAAATAATTATTATTTACACAATAAGATATAAAATATGTTCGATTAATTTTATTATGTACATATTAATATTTTATTGTGGTCGATATTTTCATCGGAGGAACTCATACAATTTTTTCAATATTGTCCCACGATTACCATGATTTTCAGGGTAAATTCTAAGAAAACATCCTCTACGCGTGTATTTAAAAAAAATGACATTTAATAATAGCGCGTGTCTAAGCAAGCTATATGAGTTAAGTTTCATTAATACATATAATATAGTTAATATATGCAATATATAAAAAAATTAAGCTTTGCTTTAATAAAATTTAATAAAAACTAATATTCAACTTATTATTGTAGAATACATATATCACATTGATCATTTAATTATCGGACGCGAAAAATGTTAAAAAGACTGATGATTCACGAGGAAACTTGCGCAATTGAACCGTTTATTAAATTGGTGTAAAGAGCGTTAAAGATACTTGCAAATATTTCATACCTAAACCAAAAATTAATTTCAATTTATATTTTGTCAACAAGAGTGCACTTAACCCCGTACACTCAATTAATTTGAATTATACATGACGCAATCTTGTCAAAATGTTTAAATAGCTATCTCTATCTTACTTTATTTTTTTTACGTCACTTTCAAATGAAACGGCTCAATTGATGATCGCGCATGCATGAGAGGAGAAACGAGCGAGAAAATTCCGCTCGTATTGCATATAAAGACCGTATTTCACGGTTAATCATCCTCCTCTCTTCATTGTACACATAGTACAAAAAAACTAACGTAACGTAAACCAAGGCACACAAGATGAGCTACATACAATTCATGACAGGATAAATGGAGCACTGTGTTCTGATATAAAACGTCATAACCGCATGTATTCGCATTTGTTCTCACGCGCATTAGAATAAGAAAAAAAGAGAAAGGGAAGAGGCAGCAGAGGGAGGTATACCGGAAGAACGACATGGCTTATTCCATAACATCTCCGTTTCTTCTGCTTTTACTTCTGCCGGCGCTCATCCATCACCATGTTTTGCTACATCCCGGTAATCCACGAGCATCGCCAAAAGTAAAAGTATAAAAGATATGCAACAGTACTTACAGTATTTTTGCAAAAGAATTCGAGGATTGCAAAGATCGAAAAAAATTAATCTTTATATATATATGTACAAATATATACGTCCAGCAAACAAGCTTGTTTCCTTTACGGATAGAGAAGTTGATTTATGTCTCCATAATTTATGCAATTTTATTTTACTCTCTTACGTTATTACTGCGTAAATAAATGTAGGAAAGTTAATTCTCTCTTTTTAATGCTACGACGCCAAATGTATGAATTATTTTTTTAACATACTTTATTGCATATATTTTTCCAAGTAATGCAACATTTTATTATTCTATCGTATTATCGAACAAGTCATATCTGAATATGTAAAGAGATCCGTTTTATGTTTAAATTCAATTTCAGAAAAATATTATTTGTTCAACTTCTTTAATACGCAGAAGAAGAAGATGGAGAAATATTGCAATCGAAGAATTATTATGGTACACGCTATGTCGCAAGCTTGAAAAATAATCTCACGATACACGTCGAGACAAGGTGTATCCGCATCTCCATGCTCAAAATTCGGATCAGGCTCACTCCTAGGATGCGTAAAGATGAATAAATACTGTGCATGAGTGAAAATTAATACTGCACACCATGCAGAAATAAAAGAAAGAAGGAGAGAGATCAAAAGACACACGATGAAAATCGAGGCGGCTCTAGTTTTAAGCGAAACTTTCTCTTGGTAGAGGTATATATGTATATTTTATTTAGGTTCTTGAAAAAAAAAGAACTTGAAAACTTGAAAGTCTTTATAAACGCGTGCCGACCAATTTGATGGAACTTCTGCAAACATTAGAGTAATAATAATTAGCCAAATCCTCTCGCGAGAAATAGTTAAATGCTCGCGAATACGAGGGTAACAGTTGCCAAGGTATTTGCAAACGTGGACTATATGCTTGATTAGTGTACTCCTCGCAAATGCAAGATCCTTGCGCATACAAAGACCGCTGGTTCTTGTAAACGCGAACCGCTTGCCAACGTGAAGATCGTACTTAGCGAGGATCTCATCAATGCAGAAGCAGCGGTTTGGCAAATCCTTGCAAACGTACGTATATGATAATATTAGCGAGTTGGACGCAAATACAAAGCCATAATCTCGAAATTTCACTATAGAACGCTTATAGTTTGACTGTCTCGTTCAAAAATTAAGAGTACACTGATTAAAGTTGCAATAAGATTTTAATTATAATAAATATTGAGAAATGTAATTTGAGAAATAAAATTAAATTGCGTAGTTGGAAATATAATTTAGCCGCGCTAAATAAAGGTCTTTTATTAAGACCTTTGAAATGTACAAAAATGTAAACGATCGTAGAGCTTGCCTATAGAGCCGCCTCTAGATGGTGAGAAACACAGCGAGCGAGTTTAGCGGTGAATTAGTTACCTTCCACATGAGGTTTTTGTTAAGGTGGCCCCAAGTGGCGGTGGCAGATTTGGGGATATTGGGAGCTGAGGGTAAGAAGGCGTGACGTGCGTACGGCAGGGTGGCCACGATGTGAGCCTCGGTCGAGGCGGATTCATCTGGCACCGGTACTGCCGGCTGCCTATCGACTATCGCCCAGCTTCGACCGGATACCAAGTACTGCAAAAGCAACCAATCCGCCGTTCCCCCTTAACCCTTTGTTTACTGATAAGCAGGGCCAGCTCTGTCAGTATCGCTCGTGTGTTTCGGTGTATGCGTGTGAATGAATGAATTAATATTCTCTAGGTATTATTCTATGCGTAATCACCGCCAGAAAAATTGAAATATAAATATACATGTATATATATATTGTATATATCAAATCACAGAATTTTTGCGTACATTCAATTTGGGTGTCAACGGGTTGTTTGTGTCAGTAAACAAAGAGTTTTTCGATCGCTGCACTGATTTTAGGAGTAAAAAGTAGGAAATTGAAGAGATCTGTCAGGAAAAAATTCAAAAATTTGATATTTCCTCGAAAACACACATTTGTGAATTAATCTATTTTTTTATATTTATTTCAAGCCCTGTGATTGTATTTTATAAATATCTTTAGTTCCCAATTTTTCTTTCATTTAACAAATATAAACCTTTTTCTATAAATAATAATTCATTTTTATTTTATAGTCCATAAAAAATATGAAGAGTTAAAAAAAAACTTTGAAAAATAATGTATTAAATAATAATTAGCTCTATCGATTAGCTTCACTATTACGGCTAAATCTTGTCCATAAATAATACGTGTTCCCAATTGAAATCACAGGGCTGTGGGAAGACCGGAAGGCTTAAGCTCCTCGATCGATGAAGCAGCGGGACAAGAGACCTCGTGCACCAATTAGGATACATAATTGTGTGGATACGGGGAAGAGGAAGGGCGCGTAAATTCCGCACGACACGGGGGAGATATGAGGCGCTGTACATATTCAGCGGTATCTCGCGCGACGCGCGGCACCGGAAGCAGAACAGATTTAACCCGTGCGGGAGCGAATCTACGACATAGCGTTCTGAGATACGCGACGTCGGCACGCACGCTGAAAGGCTCTTCCCGGACACGTTGCGGCCTTCTTCTCTCTCTCACCCTTCGGTGGACGAGCGGTGGTTGTTGCGCGAGGACGACACGTGATTGCACTTGTTTCGAGATTCTATAGGGACGGGTCACGCGACCTGTTACAGCCGGACTTCCGCTCTTAGAGAAACCTACGACCTGCGGCTCTCTGACACAGATCGAGAAAGAGCCGCTGTGCGATGCCTTCCGCTTGGATGAATCATGTATGATAATGAAATTTCGAAGCGTGCGGAATGAAAGATCTTTGAAGAGCGAGCCCAGAGAAGCTCTTTCCATCCAAAAATTTGAATCGTCTAAATGCTTGAATTTGGAAATAAACATGCATTATTCATATTTGGAAAAAAGGATGAATCGAAAAACGATTTCTTTCGAAATTTTCAAATGGCAAAATTGAATTGTACTCTTGTAATCATCTATAGTGTACAGAATTGGAAGTTTCTGTCAATGAAATAATCACTCATCTGGTTTTATTTATCTGAAAATTTTCTCTATAGTTTATCTCATGGGTATGTGTTAATCAGCGAAATGCATCTAATGAATAGGAGTAGAGAGAAAAAAATATATAGAGAGAGAGAAAGAGAGAAAAAGAGCAAAAGAGACCGGTGAATGAGCATGTGTGATGCGGTGGAGGTGTGTGATAAATATATGTAATGGATTGATTTTCCTCGATCTTTCTTTTTTTTTCTTAATTTTCTGTTAAGTGGTTGATCATGTAAGTGAATGCCTGTGCGAGCATTTGATTATTTTTTAATCTTTTATACTTGAAGCGCAAGTCTAATCACGGTATTTTCTTATTCTCATTATTATATTATGATTATTAAATTCAATTTTCAATTACACACTTAATTCAATATTCAATTTTACGTAATAAAAAATTAATATTTCAATCAAAAGGAAATAAATAAATAGTGTGTAATATCTTCATGTTTTCTTGCTCGCTCGAAAATAAATTAGTGCATTAATAAATATGATTTCAACATTTTCACGAGTCGATTAATAATACTCTGCGCGACAAGTGCAAAGAGATTAAATAAAATGCATTCGGCATGTAAAATGCGTTGCGGCGAGTTCGATGGAAAACGCACTTTTATGCAACCAGTTGCAAACGCAACATATAATCGTTATGCGCGTGCATTTGCATTTTCGAAAAAGCGTTTTCAATCGATCGCTTGTTCGAGAAGAAATAAAAAAAAATCACTTAATTATACTTGAAGCACGTTCAGGCGGAATACGGAAGATCCAGTAAGTGCAAGAGAGCAAAACAATGTGAAATGCAATGTGTAAGTGTCTGCATAGAGTGCATCTCTTCGTACTCCGCCCTTCGCGTGTCTAGTTGGAATTAGGTCCACTGGTACATTACGAATCTTTCTAAACGTATACCTTCTCTATAGTCGATGGAAGTTTTTTTTGTTTAAACTTCTCCGTCATGGATCTGATTGGTGAATGTGGATATAAAAAAAAAGTTTGGTAATTAAGCAACTAAAATTTTTAGTTTCAGATTATTTACTTCTCAATTAAATTGAGAAAAAATATAAATTTTTTTGAAATTATGTTTCATCAATCTGTAAACAGTGCAGACAAAAATTTACATAGTTTTCCTCTCTAGAAAAAAAATTTAATTTATACATAACTTTATATATGGAAAACTTATACATAATAAATAAAATAAATATAATAAATTGATAAAAGTTTCCGTATAATTATAAGGAATATAGGGTATATTATCACAGAGGTTTGCCTCAATTATAATAAAGATCTACTCATCATTTGCTAATTAAATAAAACTTGTTCGACATATCAAATATGGCGAACGAAAGGATTAGATAGAAGGAAATACAATAGAAAATGCACGCGTATTCAAAATTATTTCTATGATTGGGCAAAAGGCAGTAATTAACAAATAAAATTTATATCTTTATCACGTAATAATACATATAAATATGAATGATTTTGATAATGTGTTTTTACTATATTTCTACATATTAAATACTATATTAAATCTTGATAGAATTAGTCAGCGAACAAAATTCAGAGCTTTATAGCTTTAAATTTTTACTTGATTACTTCATTAACTATATAACTATATAATATTGTATATTCTAGCCTTTTTATTATTTAATATAAAAATTTATAATTTATTTATTTAGTAGCTAAATTTGACTTACCAAATTATTTCAACTGCACAACTGCAACTACCATTTTCTGTGTAAAATATCCATTTCGACGAAATTATGTCACTTACTGCCTTTTTACCTGATCACAGATTTCATCGATGATCCGGAAAACCTGAAATGAACGGTGAATCGCGCAAATCTGCGCTCTTCGTAATGAGAAAGGGAACGAGCTGGGGGTGAGAGGGTACAAAGTAGCCAGCAACCGCGTTACACCAAACCCCGAGGCCAGATAAGAAGCACGGAAATCACCACTGTTAGTAGGAAGTCTTGCGAGCGAGCGTACTCGCGAGAGTGCGAATTCGAGTATTCGTGCTGTGCCTGCCTTCCACGCGTTATTTACAGTTTACAGAATGGGGGACCTTTAATCATTATCACATTGATAATCTGAAAATAATTGATTTGTCTTTTAAGAAAAGACAAATATATTATCTCCGAAATATACTTTAGATACAAAGATTTTTCAAGTCAAGCTTTCTTTCAGCAACTTTTGCAAGATAATTTTTTGTGCTAACTTTGTAAGAAAAAAGTAAGACGACGAATACAAAAAGAACAGAAAAAATATATAATAGTAATAAAAAAGATGACATAAGTGGTTTCAAAAGTAAAAATAACAATCTGATTATTAGAAATTTAATTCGATAAAGTTATATAAAAATGAATTTCTTATTATAAAATCGACAATTTTTTAATCAAGATATAGAATTATAAATATATTTATATTTTGAAACTAATCGACGATTAAGCGATACGTTTCAATTTATTTGAACTCGATCATTTAATTGTCTCGAGAGATTATATTTGTTTGATATTTCAAGTAAAAAAATGCAAGAACAAGAGAGAAAGAGAGTGATATTTTTAATTGAAAGTTTAATGAGGTCATATTATCGAGAAATTCAAATTAAATCAAGATTAACAAGAAGCGACGAATTTTATTTATTTCTTTAACGAGCGCAAAATGAGAACTCTCAATATCAAACAATGATTTATTTAAAACATTTTGCATATTAAAATTATTATAAACTAGAGAATAAGTAATGAAAAACGTCAGTTTGATGAAAAAGAGTATACTGTTTGACATAATTGTACAGAAAGAAAAAATGCTACTTTTTTTATTTCTTTTTTTATCGTTTCTACTTTTCTTTAGAAAAATTTAAACATAAACGTAAGCAATGCACAAGTAATTTAACGATGAAAATTAAAGAGTTTTGCAGTAAGAAATTAGTTTCGTGTTTTAAATAAATTATTTTATAAAAATAAGAAATAATAATTTAAAAATAATTTATTTAACACTGAAAATTAAACTAATATAAAAGTAAACTTGCGTTGAAACTTTGTTATGAAACTTCTTACGTTTAGTTACTTTTAACATCGGAGTTTCGCTCTTGCTGGCGTTTTCCTACAAGTCGTATAACAGCATGAGCACATTCAACCATCTCTTCTGAATATATTTTCTGAATACATTTTTTGTCTCGCTAGTTTTTCTATCTTTCTCTCTCTCCCTCTCTCTCTCTCTCTCTCTCTCTCTTTCTCTTTTTCTCTCCTTCTCACTTCATTTTTGTCGACTAATTCTTTTCGACTCTCTCAACGCGATAGAATCGAAAGAGTCGAATGGTTCGTTAAATGCCTTTTACCTCGCCGTTCTGCGAGTCAGTTTTTGAAGTGGTTTGCTGACAAAAAAACTTTTAGACACATTTTTTGTTTCGAGCAATAAAGTTGAATGTACTGAATGACATCATTATAAATAGAAAACTAGGGGAGAAAAATAATATAATTAATTCACGAAGAATCTCGATTAATATTTGTATAATACAAGGATTTTAAAAAATAAAATTTTTGATTGTATAACTGTAGGCGTACAAAAGTCGCTCTCAATTCTATATATACATATGCTAGATAATTTTGAAATAAAAAAATATTTATCAGAAAATTTTATACTATTGTAATTCTCACTTTTAACAAAAAAAAACACCCTCGAATGCACACCAAGCCTTGAATAAAGGCAATAAAGCAGAATTTGCATGCCTCAAATATATCCTGCAATAAATTTGGTGTACAATTAATAATAAGTTATTAAGATAAAAAAAGGAGACATTATATTTTAGTCAAAACTCTGTTGCTCCATTAATTAAATATATTGTAAGCATAAAATTGAGGATTAAATAAATCACATTTAGCGCTAAATATATGACGGACTAAGGTCTATTTACACGCGTTGAGAGAATCAAGAGAGAGAGAGAGAAAAAGAGAGAGAGACAGATAGATAGACAGACAGAAATCGTAATTCACGTGAAAAGAAGACTATGACTAGCAACAATCTTTCAATTGTGAAGGGGACAAGCTTAAAGGAAGGCAGGCTTGAGTTCTGAGCGACAGGCAAAAAGTGAGCGATAATAATTAATTACAGACGGATCATACTTGTGTTATTTATAATCATACTGGAAAGAGCAAAGCGAGAAAAGAATATACAGAGAAAAAAAGGTAGAAACGCAATTTGTCGATACTCGTTCCCATGAGAGAGTATACAAAAGTTATTACATATACTTATCTAATTTTGTCTATTTAAAAAAGAAACAGACATTAATTGTGTACTTCATAATAACCAAGTATTGCACCGTCATTGCTATATTGAACAAAAAATGAGAGAGGGAGAGGGAAGACGCACGTTCCTCTTTCGAACTCCTACAATTTTGGGCTCCACGAAAAAACATAGTAACCAATATTCTTGCAAAAATTTATATGTACTGATTTTTACAAATATGATGTGATTCTACATATAGTATGATTATTTTTCATCTTTATTGAGCAGAGTGAAAGAAAAATAATAATAAATATATTCATCGATCAACGTTGAGATTAATTGTAAGTCTACATAGTTCAACTGATTTTCTAATCCTTGAATTAATTAATAATTTAATTAAATTATTTTTTAAAATTAAAATTAGATATATAAACTATCATTTGAATAACAATTAACTAGCAAATAACTAGCTCACTGAATCAATCTAAATACAAAACGACATAATATTTGCAAAAATTATGATCTGAATTTTCATAAGAGATATCGGTCACCCTGGTTCCGCGGAGCGATCTCTTTATTTCGCTTCGTTATCCACGCGTTTCGGTTTGGTGTATAAGCGGCATTTGGATACCTTGCTGGGTGAGATGCCTATTGTGGTTGCTAGGTGCCATCATGTGCATCTGGTGTGCCCCGACCGGCGATCGCAGCGACAAATTGTTCAGGTTCACGTTTATCGAAAGATTCGTATTGTTACAGGTGGTCAGGTTGTTGTGATTGTTCGGCGGTGACGTAGTGCTAGCGTTGGTACCCACATTGGTGGCCGCATGGGGTGACAGTCCGGAGCTGTCGGTGGTAGGGGCTGACGGATTCGACGAGGTGTTGTGCGAGGCGAAGTCCTTGCCACCGTTTGCACCGCCGGGGCCGCCGCTGCCACCGGTGGAGCCGGCCGAGCCGCCTGTCACTGTCTTCGAGCACCTCAGACATTTCGGCAGCCAGGAATGGCGACGCACGAACTTCCTGTACTCCTTCCTCACCTGCAAGAGTGAAGCAAAACCCGCCCGACCCGACAAAACGAGTTTAACGGTGCGTGAAAGAACTAAAGGTCTGTGCGAGACAGCGTGCGGATGCGTCACGTGCGTCTCTTCGGGTCTGATATATATATATATTGTATATATATATGCAAACTGCAGACAACTTTGCAAAAAGTAGCTCTAGTGTACGTTTAAAAATATATTTATATTATCTTTAGGCAAAAAAGTGAGGAAGCTGTCTGCAGCTATTTTTTGTGAGAATATTGTGCAATACAAACTTGAGAAAATTCGCAATTCTGGTGCCGAGTTAACGAGAAATGAGAATAACAACGGTGCTTTTCGCGATGACAACAATAAAAAAAATTAAATTCTTGAGAAAACTATAACAAGCGTACTACGGGTGACGAAAGTGCGCGAAGTAAACGCACAATAATTTGTATTACCACAACATTTTATTAAACATATCATTTTTCTCATCTTCATGTTCTGATATTCGTGAGCAAAATAATACGATGTTGACATGATCGTCTCGACAATCTTAATTAGCATTATCAATTACGTAATCGATATGTTAAACTTAAGTGTTAAGAAATTCTTCAATTTTTAACTCTGTACAAAAATTTATACAAAAATGTGGAAACACATGAATTTATAAAAGATCATTACAACTTGCTGCTATTAATCTCATTGTAAAGAAATATAAAATTGTACACAATTTTTTTCTACAGGCATCGAAGTACATAACACATTTCATTACATCAATCGTTCATTAAAAATATGCAATCAAAATGATCTTATAGGAAGCGTATCGATGCAAAGTTGAATTGCTATTATAAAGAATTGCACGAGATTATTCTTATGCGATAAAAATTACATATTTCTATCATGTTACATATTTTTCGAATAACTTCGAAGTTTGTTGTCTGTTTTCTCTCTCCGAGAACATTCGGCAATGTTACCAGAACTGTCTAAATCAAGGCGGACTTCTGTGCCCCGACGTATTCCCTTACCTTCTCGTTCTGTACGCAATGGAACACAAAGATAAACAGCCCCTGGAGACTGTTCAATACGGTGAAGATATACGCCATCACAACGGACTCTTGGTTTAAGTAGAGGAGCCCGAACGTCCAGGTCAGACCTAGTAGAAACACTAGCACGATAGCGCCCCGCAGCCAGGCCCTGATCAGAAGATACAGGATAATAAATTACATCGAAGAACAGCTAGTCCCAGGTTTCTGTTATACAATACAAATCGCGATGGCGACGCTTAAAGAGGATCAATATATAATCGCGCAAAATTTCGATGGAATATCTAATTTTATTGAAAAATTCAAATCTTGTATCGTACACATTGTGCGCGCGCCTCTTCTAAAAAGACTCAGGATCAATTGTATTATTTAAATTTTCTTGTAACATTTTAATAAAAACATAGATTCGACAATCTGCTACAAAGAAGAGAAAGAAAATATCGGTGATGCAGAGATAATCTCTGCATTTTGAATTTTTTGCGATAATTCTTTACGACATTCTATATTGGTTACAACTTCTCATCTGTTATAATGAATGCTTCTTTTTCTTTCTTAATAATTTCCATTTTTCTTTCCCAAATTATTTATTAATTATAAGGAAACGAAAGAAATGATTGCAATCGATCCTGAGTTTCTTCAGTCGATCGCAACACACGGTTTAAATGCTTATGATTAATAAATGTAAGGTTGGAAGAAAAAATAATGCCGCTGTCACGTAGCTGTCGTGAGACACGCGAAGGGCGACGTTTAAGTAGTACGACATTATGCAGAGTCTGATCTTTTATTTTCGCAGGCACTGCTTTGAGCGTCGCTGGAATCACGACGTCTTATCTAAATCGTTGTGATTAGAACGTGACGTTACACAGGTAGGCGGATATATCTCTACGGTATACTTTCACGTCTATCTACTTGTAAATCAGGCGTAATACCCGAAACTAAGGAAAATACTACATGCACAGTGAACCGTTGTGTCTACTCACAGGAAGTGCAAATGCCATAACAAAAATATAATGAATAATATACAGTTATTATATCAGCCAACTTTAGCTATTATATGTTAATATAAAGTTGACACAATCAAATTGATAAAAAATGTTCTTTTATGCAAGAATTATTTTATTTTATTATTCAATAATTTCTTTATTCAATAATTAAAATTAAATTTATTATTATAAAATTAATACATTAAAATTATTTATAATATGTAATATTATTCATCACTAGGTACAGCAAATTTTTTTCTTTGATTTAAACAAACGATAAACTCTTCATTAAAACAAAACATACACGATTTTGAAATAATTAAATAGATCACATTGTTATGATTAATTAATTTTGAAGGAATAAGTGCGCGCGCATTTTATTTTTAAGAGAGAAAATTTAATTCTCATAAATAAAATTATTTTGAATTTATTGCAACTAGTAACTTTAAAATTCTTCAAATATCTTCAAATATTATAAATATGCATTTTATATACACTTATTCCTTCAACTGTTGAATTAATTACATTGTGCACACATAAATATATTATTGACACTTTAGATCGCGTTTCCGGTGAGTATCACAATATGACATTTGGCGAGTGTTTCGATGTATGATGTGAGAGACTAAAGACTACGACTACGTTCACAAAATCAGTGTGAAATGATAATCGGATAGCTTAATTAAAATGAAATGGACTAAAGAAAAAAAATAATAAAACGAGCGAGATGGTAATTAATGACGACGTTAATGATATGATGGTGAGTAATAATAAAAATGGTAAATATCTTACAAGTGCGCTTGCAATTTGTTGGGAAGAGCATTCTCTTCCTTTCCACTACCAACCAACCACGCCATGCAGAAGAATGTAGAACAGTGTAGACAGAAGTGGGTAGAAGATTTAATACAAAAATAAAACAAGACAGCAGTTAGGTGATTGTTCCGGCACCATTAATTAATTGTTATAGCTTATGTTTCGATTTGCAATGCTCGATTCGTATTACTTTTTTTTATATATGCAAAGCATAGCGCTTTTGCTCGCAAGTAAAATTGTTGATACAATTGTTATAATTATGTCAATTATGCCAATAAAAAAGTCATAGCAACTAGGAATATTTTAATATTCGTCGTCCATGAGAAAACGTTATTTATAATAATCCGAATCGGGATTGCAACAATTTTTTCATTACCATCACCAAATAATTATTTACATGTTTTCATAATTTTGTAAAAATAGAGATAATTTTTCCTTTTTTTATATACACATAATAATTTCACATAAATTATAATTCCGTTCATAAACTCTGTAAATTAAACGTGATGATATACAGGGTGTCCAAAAAAAGAATGGGTATATTAACATATTTTCTGCAATATGCTGTGCATACAATTATCTATGAAATAAAAATTCACAAGTACATACAACAATCTGTAAAATTCGAAATCTATGGAATCGTAGCAGAAACCTTTAGAATCTAACATCTACAAATTTAAAAATTTATATATCGTATTTTTGAAGCATTTAAAAATTATTACACTAAAAAGCCCACTCGCGCTTTTTGGTAACACTTAGCATTATCTTGCATAAAATGCAGAATTTTTGAAACCTAAAACATGGAATTAAGAACTTTGCAAAATAAAAAATTATAAGGATTTTTTAAAAATATTAATCACAAATAGTTTCTAGTGTATTCCGACCATTTTTTTCAATTATCCCGAATGGTGCACCCTGCATACGACGAGCTGTGTAATCGAACGATATACTCGTGTATATCCTAATATGATATATCGTGTATATCACAGCAATACAGTGATGTGTCGAACGAGAACGAAATCTGCGGTCATTCCAAACATAGGACTCAAAACCAAAACCAAAACCAAAAAGTTAGCATGGCCGCCAAAAGATGCGTGACAACAAGATCCGCGTTCGGGAGATCTCTTTAAGCAAGTAAAGCTTGCGAACGTGTAAACCGAAAGCATCAAACAAACATCTCGGATACTACGCTTCGACGGGAGGATCAAATCTCGAATGTGACGGACAACGGACGGACTCGATTGATATACGGTATATACAGTTTGTAATTTACGGTGATTTACTATGAAACAAGCTACTAGGGATCACTGTGCTTACCTTGCGCTAGCCAGTCGGGAATGCTCTTTACTCTTCATGGCCACGGTGGTGTTCGCGTGCCGACACATCATGTAGATTGCCATGGATAGAAATACCAGATTCGCCTGCGAAAAATGATCATTAAAATCGATTATAGCGGCGTTTTTGATGTCACTGTCGTAAAACTAAAAATCTCAAAAAATATTACGGTTAATATACATATATGTAGTAGTTGCAAATCCTTAATTATCAACTTTACTTAACATGCTTTTCTCGTCAATCAATTTTATTGTTCAACTAATTAATAATATATCAGTTAATTACCAATATAACGAGTATCACAGGTCCAACAAAGCTGAAGATGAAATAATTATCTGCACGCAGCCAGCAATACCGATCGGTACCGTAGCTGAGTGGATCAATTATGCACGAAATTGCTACGACCAGCAGCGGCGCGCCATATGCGACCAGATAATACCATCGAAGTCGAGATTTTTCCGCCTCGAAGACCTCGATCAGCATCACATATAATTGGAATCCTGCGATGTGACATAAAATCAAGTAGAAAATAAATGACAATAGAACAGGGTATAAAATAACGAAAAAAACGATCAAATTAATTAACCTTCGAGGAACATCCAAGCAAACGCGCACAAGAAGAAAAAGTGCAATAAGCCGGCCACGATGCCGCAGAAGATCCTCTGATCCGTCTGGCCGATCCCGCAAACAAAGAGTATCTCGGCTATCAGTAGGCACACGCAGAGATTCTTGTGGATCGTCGTCCTATCCGACTGTAAAAAAAGGGGTATAGAGTTAAGAGAACAATTTCATTTCACTGCAATTGAATGCTGATCGATATACATATATATATCGCGCAGATATATATATATATATATATATATATATACCTTCAGTCCGCGAAATAATTGAAACGTGAGAATGGCTAAAACGAGACAGACGACGGAAATGATGCAGCCTATATACGTGATGATCTGCAGAGCGACTTGATGAGCAATGTCCAGCCTGACGGCGTGCACGTCCATCAGCACGGCAAAGTTCGTCAAGTGATTGCATTCGCATATGGTGTGAGTCTCGTTGGTCTTTTGTATCTGGCATCCCTCGTCCGACCACGCGCTATGTAAAATAAAGTATCGCGTAATCATTTTCCATCCAATATAGGACGCATGAAAAACCAATCACGTATGAATTATAAATTTTCCGACTCTGCATTTCAAGATTGAGCTTTATCCAAGATTTATAAGAGTTATTCGATGTTGAAAAATGAAGAATTTGAGATTTTCGAGATACAACATTTATTTGAAAATCATTCGTCGATCAATTTTAAATCAAATTTTTATCAAACTTTTTATTCCTCAAATTAAAAAAAAAAATGGTAAAAACATAAATAATAAATAAATTTTCAATTTATGGGTGTCGCGAGCGTTGCATATAGCGCAACGGAGACGTAGGAAGAAAATTGAAGATAAAGAAATAAGAAAGGAAAACTGTTTCTCCCCGGTATTCCTACATAGTATTGCGCAAAGTGGAAACAGGATCGGATGAAGGCGAAATTACCTCAAGATGTAATCCCAGAAGACGCAAGTGGGGTTGGTGACATTTTCAACTACCAGATGCCTGAAACATACCCGGACGGGTTCCGAAAGCTGTATGTGCCGGCCCTTTCCCAAGGACGCCGAGATAACTTTGCTGTTGAGAATACGAGTGGTGTTCCTCCGCGACACGAGCTGGGGATCGTCGTTCACGACGACGGACGGCGGCTCGGCTTGCGGCTGCAGTATCTCCTCGAGTCTGTCAAATGCCATGAAGACCAGCCGCACGACGCCACCCTCGTTGCTATCCACCAAAGCACCCTTGGTAAGTTCCACGCGATCGTTCGAGACGGGCCACTTTTGCTGGGAGGCCTCGCTGGGGAAAACTTCCAGCTCCTTGTTGATGTTACGCGCGTCCAGTACGCGAACTTCCATCACTGTGGTGAAGACACGCACGCGGCTAATTAAGCGAGTAGGTGTTTTACTCCCTCGGCGCGGTTAATGCGCTTCGTGAGAATTCCAGTCGTAAATTCGCGGAAGACGCGAATTAAATTACGACAACACAGCGGTTTTCAAACTTGTATTATAAATATTCACTTTAAGTATGTTACAACAAAATTTAACTTCTTTCACAAATAAATATCTAATAAGTGAATTAATTAATAAAACAACTTGCTGACGCGGAGATCGAAGCACATTTGACTGCATTTTATAAATAAAATAAAAATCGTATATAATTATAATAAATTTTTAGCATAATTTTAAAATATACTTTTTTTTTGAAATATTAACCAAACACAAAAGCTATATTATAAAATTTAATGAAATATATTATTACGGAAATGCATGTTTTTATAAGTTGAAAACCACTGCAGAAAAAAGGAAATTAATTTTCTCGTTTCCTTCGACTCTTATTCACGCAATCAGAATAAAATTAAACCAAGCAGATTAATAAAATAATTTCCTTAAAAAATTTAGTTGTACCAGATTCGTCAAGAAATGTAATAACCGAAAAAAGTGCGATAATTCTAATATTGCATTTTGCAGCGAAATAAAAAAATATGAAGAATTGATCGTGGTATCAATCAGTAGCGCAGGCAGGAAGAAGGACTTAATGCGATTTCGATTTTTCTTCTCGAAGAAAGAATGTTACACAACATCCGACCGGCTGTCGCTCATCATCTTTCCCCCTTCTTCCTCTGACACTTTTTGTCCTTCGCCGCGTTATGCAGTTTATCAAGCGTGCATCTGATGACGCTATGATGCACGTACATACACTGCGGCTCAATCAAGCAGCGACGCACTTCCGGGAAGTAAATCAAGTCGCTTGTAATTCTACTGCTATTTTGTAATAATAACAACGTGCGCTCGCTTCATACTCGCCGGATTACAACGTAATCCAGGCGGGTACTGGAGAATTACTATGGATTCGGATCTGTATTTTATCTATACCGGAGATTATTGGGTGTTGGATACGTGAATGATATAAATCATTCGACTGCTGGCGACGAACGCCGGAGGCATATGAAACGCGTGCTCGCTGCATGACTTTCAAAATGCCGGGACGAAAATAACTACTCCGGATGACAATTTTACTTTAAGATAAATTACACAATTTCATAAATTCTAGGTTGTCTGGTAAGAAATATTTATGAGACGAAATGTTTATTAAAGTTAAATTAATCGAGTTAATATCAAAAATCAGACACAAGTAAATTTATAGTCTTAAGATAATCTAAACGGTGTAACTTTTTCTCATAACATAATGTATTTTAAATTTGTGCTTGATAAGGTAAACTAAAGAAAAAATTGAATAAAAAATGTTTTTTTTTTTTCAGATTTAAAATCAAATCGTGATCCTATTTTACATTGCAGATAAAATCACAAAGATTATCTAGAAACACGGAGCAATTGTGTAATAAGACGAGCTGTAAGTAGAGAAAAATAACAACCTAATAAAAAGGATATTGAGATTCTTAATACTCTCACACCCTATCCGGTATCTGAAGGACGTAATAATGCTTATTCCGTAAATTACCGTAACAATTACGAATCATCATTAGCAGTACTCACGTATGTTTTTGTTCTCGTGTATGATGGTCTTCTCGTGCATGAGCGTGTCGGCCAACAAGAAGGCGTTCTCCTCGAGACCGATCAACAGCGACGTGGCGACCCTCATCTGTTCCTGATGACTGAGATCTTTCCAGGACGCCATTTGTGTCTTGTCGAGTAGATTGCTACCGGTCCTCACCACACCCTGCAGCAGCTCCGTGACGCTGACCTCCCTCTGATTCAAATCTTGGTAAGTCTTGATGTCTAGCGCCATCTTCTCGGCCATGTTTTTGATTATCTTCGTGGTGATCATCATGTCGCCGCCGTATAAACCGCGGCTGTTGTTGGTCACCTGCGAGAGCTCCCTGCTGATGCCGAGAATCACGTCGCCTTCCGTCACGCGGTTCTCCAACGTGGTCAGCCAGACGGACCGGCACTCGCTCAAGTCCGGACTATCGCGGTGCCAGACGGCAGAGTCTCCGCGAGCGAGACATCGCCATCTAGCCAGACCGTTGGCACCGCCGGGACAGCTCTGCACGGCTACATCGCCGGCCCTGGTCGTGTTCCAGGACAAGTTTCTGGCTACCACTGGGGGACACACCTGTCTACCGTAATCGTACCACTGGCCGTTGGAGCTGGACTCCGGATACAGCGTGCTAGGTACTGTAACAATAGCGGTTACGGTTCGGTTAGTTTCGTCGTCTTAAATGGCTATCTCAGATTATAACGGCTGTAGTTAACGGCACGGCGTTAATGCGATATCAGCGTCGCGGAGTCCTCCGGGATGCAAGCTCGGTGCGCGCAACGACGCTCGGAAATGGAATTTCGGTTCTCCCCGGGGGATCTTAATGCTTCGTCGTGATTGGAGCAGAAATGCGCCGTTTAGCCGTGACAATTTATAAACAACGGAAGCGTATTCGGGTATTACAGAGAGTGGTCAAAGTGAAAAATTAAATAAATAAATAATAGGTAATGGCGGCCTGTCTCTAGACATTGTTATGGCTACATCAGTTGTTATAACTACATAATCTCGGTCATTTATCATGCTTATGGCGCGTTGTCTGATACGAGCTTATCCTTAAAGTCAATCCATAGATTCGTGGCTCCATAACCGGAATATCGAATATAGGTTGTGTAAAGACATTCCTGCAGTTATCGTCCAAGATTATCAAATATAATTAATTGGTAGTCTAAAAAAAAGGACAAAGAAACTCTTGAAAATCTCAGATTGACAATAGCAAGAAGAAATCTTTCTAAATATCATAAAATTATATTTCTTCCCTAATTAAATTATATAAATCAGATTTCTCTAATATATAGTTGTTCCTTAATAAAAATTTTGATTTTTTAAATATTTGCAGTTAAGGTTTATCATAAAATCATGATATAAATATGATTAATGTCATATTCCATGATTTAGATACGTAAAATACACATAACACATTTTATATTTTTACATATAATATTCCTTGCTTAATGCTTAATTCGAAGTATCAATATCAGTATTATTGTTTGAAATGGCGCATTATTATCTAATGTTTCCCAAGGAGAAAAATACTTACTGGTGGTCCTTCGACTGGTTCTCCAGGGAGCGAAGGTGGACGTTGTCGGAGCTTGAGTGGTCTCGGGAATAATCGGCGTCATTGCCGGGCCATTTGGAGGTATCGAGTCCTCTTCTTCGTCCTCGATGGAGGATGTTGTCGAAGGACTGAAAATAAAAGGAGGGAAAGAGTTCTTTAGTTTTAGATACATCAAATTTTATGATTATCGTATAGATCGCGTTTAATCCAAATTAACGAGGCGAAGAAAAATATTTATTCCCGATGATGTACAAAACAGCGATTGGATCAGACCACGCAAGGTAAACTTATTTTCTCCGGTATATTGATGAATATAGAGATATATGAAATTCCCCTAACAGCACACATATCCCGAAGAAGATCCTCTAAATATCTTTCGGATATGTTGTGCTATTAGAGTCGCAAAAATAATGAAATCTACATAATGTATGGTTTTAGAATAAAGCCTGAAATTTCTCTCGGCTTTAAACCTATCAAGTCGCGCATGTTTATGTAGCACACTAACCTCGCCGGCGTTGTTATCGGCATCGCCGGAGTGGACGGCGCCGGCGGCTGTGGCGGCTGCTGCGTTGGTACCGTAATCCTCGAGGGAGGCCTGATGGTCGGCTTAGCGGTGCTCCAGACGTTCGGCTGCGAAGTTATGAACCACGGCGGACTCGGCCGGGACGTTGTCGTAGTGGTGGCTGCTGCAAATGTGTTTCGTCGAGATCGTTTTAATGAGGATGGAAAGATCGGTGAACGGTGCGAAGGAAGTACTTTTCGTAGAGGAGAATCGGGAAGAGCTCGTCTACGAGCTTATCGGAATAGAAGACTGAGAATAATTAAGAAGAAAAGTGATTTTCAGGGGTGCGGAACATTTAAGACTTTCGAGAGGTCTCAGGAATATCAAACTTGTCCCCTCTCTCTCTCTTTCTTCTATCTTTCTCTCCTCCTCGTTTTCTTCCCACATCCCTCTCTCCCTTCCAGATTGATGCGATGGGGAGCTTATCTTCCACGTCGAATTTATATCGGATTCTGGTTAATCATTTGATAGAGTTTGAATGAACTGTCTGTACTTTGCGTATATTCCCGATAGGGACCGAAGGGAATGAGATATCCGAGGTTCGGAGATATCGAGATACTCTCTTCTCTGTTTTTCTTGGCTCGCTACGTTGGGAAGGGCTTATCCGCTGTATCGGATTTATATCGGATTCTTGTTAATCGTAATCATTCGATAAAGCTTGAGTAAATCTTCTTTTGAGGAGAGCAGATATGAATATAATAATATTGGATTTTTATATTAAAATATTTGATGCACTTAACTGATCAGGATAATTTTGCAAACTAAATTAAATTTCTTTGATGAAGTATAAAAAAAAAATAAAACAACGTTATCATATTTAAAAATATATAAAAAAATAATAATTTTTAAATAGTTAATACAATAGTTTGACATTTTACTTAAAAGGAGGAAATAATTGTTATTTAAAAGGAATATTTTTATTTAAAAGAAATATTATTAAACATATCCATATTGCTGAATATTTATATTAAAATTATTTTGTCTATAAAAAAATCTATCAGTAGTTTTCCAATATTAAAGACAAAACATGGAAAACCTGCCGCTCTTTCCTCGGAGATAATATCGAGCTTCATATTGAACGAACGCGATAAATAAAAATTTAAAAATGTCCATGAGCTATCATTTACGTATAAATCGCCCATCCGAGAAACATTTTGCAAATAGAGAATTCAAAGGGTTAAAGAATAGAGATGGAGAGAGAGAGAGGGAAAATGACAGAGTATATAAAATTATAGGGTTTTATATCAGGAATACATCTAATCGTTGAGAAGAAAATTCTTAATTTAAGATAGCGGTAATATATTAATTTTAAAATGAACTAATTTGTGTAATTTTGCGACATTATCTCTGTAGGAGATCATCCTTATTGATCGAAGGAGTTGACGATAAGATAAAATAAGGAGTTTACTAATATTAATCACGTCTGAAATTAAGATAAGCAAATATATGTGTATGAGTTAAAGAGAGAAGAGGAGTAGATTTTATTTCTCGATCTTATTATTCGAGGATATTATATATTAGTGTCTCAAATGGAATACCTGTCAATTTATTAAATCTTTGCGAGAATAAATAAGCGACATACAACAATCGTGATAAAAAACAACGAAAAAAGACGAAAAGAATTTAGATTCGTCATTGAAAACTTGGTGTCTTAAAACGATGTATTATAAAATGTAATAAAACAGGCTATTTAATATTTATTTAGAGTAAATAATAAATACTATAAAAAGTAAACTAAGAGAGAAAATATAGTATATTCAAAATATATTCTTAAAACTAATTTTAAATTAATTAAAAAAACTTTTCTTATTATATTTCTTTCTTTCTCTCTCATTTGGAATAATGTTAATAATTTTTTAACCTTTCTGAAATATTTTCCGCAAAGTACAATAATTCTCACATAATCAAAAGGATAAAAACTAATGTAATAGTTGAAGAATTTGTTTACTTACCAGACACGCACCGATAGTGCGCTTCAAGATATTTGTGTGTATTCGGACAAGGATCGCCGAATTGCGTGGACGCAACGATGCTGCAGTTTTGCTGGTCGTTGCACCTGAACGGGGATTCGACTCGCGTTTAACAAAATGATCATAGTACACCCTTACCACGTGTACTGCCATGGATCCTGTGTCTTTCTTCGATACAAGTGGGAAAGTAGGAACAATGTTCTCAGGGAGAGACTTTTTCGTCGAAATTTATACATTTAATTCGCGTTATTTACAGTATTATATATTAATAGTAATATATTTTCAATAAATTTTTGATTGATAAAATTGATTAAATTTTCATTTTTGTAATTTTGATTTCTGGTTAAAAATTAAAAGTGTGCAATTGTGTCGTAGACTTTTATCTCTTTCATTCGATGAAAAAAATATATTCTATTAAAATATTAGGTATTTAATCACTGGCGTTTCTCAATTATTAAAAAGTTATGTATAATATATAGAAAAAAAGTAAATCACTCGTAAAATTAAAAACGGAGTAAACTAATAAATAAAAAGTAATGTAGTTTTTTCAAACGCCAAAATTGCAAAAGAAAATATAAAAGAAAAGAAAGTGTTATATTTTTATATAAAAGATATTCGAAACTGTGTAATATCCTAACATCGACGATCAATTTAAAAGAGGAAAAAAGTCTTTACTTTTTCAAAGTCCAAAATTATAAGGCAGCTTTTTCGCAGCATCGTGCACGAGAGACAAATCTCTTGAGATTTACATCCGCGATCACGAAAATGTCAAAATAAAAAAAAATATGAACCAACCTAAACACTGGTAGTGAGCCTCGATGTATTTTCCGGTCCCTGGACAAGGATCCTCCTCAAAAACGTCGCTGCGCACGTCCACCGAGCAGGAATTACGATGATTGCACCTGCAATCGTCACGTGTGCGAAAACGTCACCCAGCGGAACGACTTTATAGCAATTTCCAAATTTTTCGCGGAATCACCAATTGAGAATCAGATAAATACGACGGTCTCGCGCATCGATCATTACTAATATTGTATAAATATGACTCGAACCTTGTTCAATATTTTTTATTTTATTTCATAATATACAAAATCAAATAAATGCAAAATCGTAATTTTGCATAAACAATCTAATAATTTACGAAATTTAAAAAAATGTTCAATTAAAGGAAATTTTTTTCATGTTTATTAAATTTGAAAAAATAGAGATTTAATATTAATTTAATCAAATTTGAGAAATAATGAAAACTTGATTCATATTTGTTAATAATTTCTTATAATATTCACACTTTTTGCAATTAGTTAATATATTATTAAATAAATTTTGTTCTCTTTAGAAGAATTTTTTATAAAAATTTTTATTCGAGGAATAAAAGCGATTTGTTAGTCTCACTGCAATTTTGGGACGAAAGCTTGACTCGTTCGCTGAGCTTCGTTGATCCGTTATATCACGATTGTTCTCGTGTGCGTGTTAACGTATGACAATAGGACAATGGGTTAGTAATGACACGTTTGAAACAGTTTCAGATATAAGCACAAATTAAGCGCTCAAGGTAAGATAGGCGAGAACTCTAGTCCCAAATCCCGACAAAGGGACACGACGTGTGTGCACGAGAAAATGTTTAGATGTGTGTCACTCGAATTACAGTCGGTCCATAATATATATCCCACGGTATATGTACAAAGATTAACCACATGCACAGAATATACCTCCATATTGAATATAGATAAATTATCGTGCAGTTCGCGTTTGTATCGCGAGAATAGCAAATTGTCGTATCGATATAATTATTAATTATATAATTTTGTGTTAATTAATTTATGATGACAATTCTCATTTCAAAATAACGAAATAATGAGACTTAGTTTCTTCATTCAGCTAAATTAATATTCGTTGTAAAATAAAAATTGATTCGCAAATTTTATCATTTATATGTGTTATATCGATTAATCAAAAAGTAGCGTAGATTTATTTTTGGCAACATCAATGTTTATTCAGTTTTGCGTATCGTAGCGTATTTTAAATTCATTTACGTTAATTGAAAAAATAATTATTGCGCATTTTATTTGTTGAAAATGTGAATTTTTTTTTTGTAGAAAGCAAAATCGCGACGCTTTAAAGGACAGAAAGCAGAACGGTCGTCTACTCATCGTTAGGTCGTAGAATTATTTTCTTCTAGAAGAATCTCGGCAATTTGCCACTGCGTTATTCTCGTTATAACTATGGAACTTGAAAATATTTAGTTCGCAGTATTGTAGTAATAAACTTTCCGCCTCGTCGGACTGCCAAGCACGCTCGACATGGCTTCACATTAAGGATTTTATCGTTGGTGAATTTTCAAAGAGGGACTCTTCCGGAAATTTTCCTCGCAAAGTACAATAGAAATAGAGAGTATTTTATCGCAGGACAATCAAGGTATCTTTCAGTTAACATTGCAAATATTTTTTTTCGATCTAAAGTTTTACGATTTCTGAACAATTTATATTAACACGCTTAAAAGAAAAAAGCTTAAAAACAATTATTTTAATAATATAATAAATATAAATATAAAGCAAGACCTATATATTATATTTTCTTTCAACTCTATGCGAAAAGACACATTGTGTCACATTTTATGCTTAAAAAGCATTGCAGCTGATAAAATGTAGATTTAATCTCTTTTAATTATTAAAAAAGTGGAAACAGAAGATATTATTTTTAAACTTCTACAAGTAATTGATAAAGTGGCAAATTATAATTATATAACTATACTGTTATTTTATTTTGAATAATTTTTTATTATAAATATATGTGCAAAAGTAAAATATATCTTATATTAAAAATATACGTCAAGAATGATAATAATAATTCAACTTTATGTGTAAAAATAGTAAAAAATTATGCATATGTTTGCGCTTTACGATATCGAAACATCAGTATACATTTATATTAAGCAAATGTGTAGAAATATAAGTTATTTTAATATTTAAAAAAGCACACATATATTTATATTTTTGTATTGTAAATTTATATTATAAATAAATAAATATTAAATTTATTTATATATTCTCGTAAATTCGAAATTATTATTAACATTCTATTTACTGTTTTATTTATTAAATTACCATTGAAGTATATTTTTAGAATATTTAAAAACGTTATCAAAAATATTTTCCGAATATTTCTCATGTGTATTCTACTTTAGTATATTATTAAATATTTGATAATTGGTTTAATTAATAATTGACAAAAAAAATGCTTTTAAGGTTGTACACAGTATTGCGCAGGTTATTTTAACAAGAATATAAATATAAAACGTAAAAAAAAGAAAAGACATAAATAGATATAAAACAACAAATAATCCAACGATGTCTAAAATAATGTCCTGCTTTCGATACTCTCGTATCACTATCGTTTTATTCATACTTTTCTCCCTAAGACGATGCGACGAAATACTTGTTCCTGCGCGACGCGACCCACGTGACTGTTGTTTATGCGCGCCTATTTAAGTTCACCCTGAACGCCGAGTTCGCGTCGGACGCCGCCAGGGTTAGCAGGTACGCAATCGCTCCGCATTATTTCGTTCTTTTTACCTGTACCGAATGAATTCCGCATAGAAATAATATCGCGAGTATCGAATCCAAACGGCGAACGATCGTTTCTGTGTATTAATTGCTCTGCGAACGATGTATCTCTCTCCCGTATTCGCGAGAAGTTTGCGTCGCGTTCGGCCGGATCGACATATTACGTCTCACGAGAGACACTATATTGTCTCTTAACCGTGCGTTTTCGTGTATTTCGCTCGTTCGACAAACGTCTCGAGTATCGCTTAATATCGAAAAGCATCGGAAGCATCGAAAAGAGCATCGGGAAGCATCAAAAAGCGCATCGAGGGATTACAAATACACAGGTAACCTCGCATATATGTGTACCTGCGTATGTGCAGAATTGGCGCGAAACGCTTACGTCACAGCTGCCATGTTTGCGCGCTTCTACAGGGTGTATACTCAAATCTTATTGTTAGAAATAAATGGGATTCCATGATTTTCCAGGTATTTCTGTTCAAAATTCCAGGTAAAATTAAAGTATTTTAAATAATATTTAGAATACAATTTTGAAATAAGTTTATTTGTTATACATAATTTTTTAATATAAATAAAGTATTTTTTTAATATAATGTAATATAGTATTATATTATAATAAAATATATTTTAATATATACTTTATATAAAACTAATAAATTTTATATTCTTTAAAACTATATTTTAAAATCAAAGGAGCAATTTTTTAAAAATTCCCTGAGAATTCCAGGTTTTTCAGGGAGTATACACCGTGTTTTACCAATCTAACATTCACGACGATCGACACAGTTTCGTACGTAATTATAGGCGGGAGAACATGTCGAGTGAACATACGGGCGATTGTTATAGCGTGTTAATTAACCTCGTAATCACGATCGTATATGTTTTTCAGTGATCGATATCAGTCGCGTCTCATCGGATGGCGATGAAGGAATTCGTTTACGAATATACGCACACTTTTGTATTTGTGAATACGTCGAGGAGCATCAATCAGCATCGGGAGATTGCCACAATAACGAATTCATCGCGGATTATCGGATCCCAGATCACCTCTTCTACGATATTCGGCTAACGGTGAGTGAACTGACTCCAATTTAATCTAATCTAATTGTACAATACTATTGAATATTGTGTGTTATACTTGCCGCTGAATATTTGTCCAACATGAGGAAGTATAAAGAAATATCCTCTTGTTTTGAATTAAACATTTTTGAAACACGTAAAGTAGCGAATGAAAATTTCTTTAAATTATTTGCGATAAAAGAAATTTAAATTATTTGCTTAAAAAGAAATGAAAAGTTTAGAAACATAATATACAAGAACTCTAAAATATAAATATATTCAAAAAGAAACTGTTAAAAAAATATCTTCTTGCTATAACTTTTACATAAATAAATATTAAATTTTAATAATATCCTTATGAGTCTTCCTATTGTGGAACTTTACTTTCGTTCTCGGAATATTTCGGGAAAATTCTATTTTGCTCTGATGATATTTCGGTCTTCGGAGCATTATCTGCCGCTTGTTATCCCGGGATTGAGTTTTTGTGGGGCTTTACATATGCCAAGTGTGCTAACTCGAAATTCGATAAAATGTCACGCGACTGTCATGTCGTATAACATGGTGTAATTCCGAAATCCCTGGATAGCAGAAAATTTACAGATGCATCGCGACGACAGACGCGCGAGTTATTTCGTCGGAAGAATTATCAGAGAATTAATCGGTCGCGGCGGACAAACGAAATGACCAAATTCTTATCGTTCTGAAAAAAATTGGGTGTTGCTGATATATTGCTATAGTTCAAGTAAAGTATTGACAGACGCGAAGTTGCTTGCTTTCGGTGTAATTGGCTCTTGTTCGAAATAGTTACAGCAATTTTGATTTATTAGACAGTAATATTCTGTCGCCAATAGTATTAATCCAACTACAATATTTTACTACTATTTTATTGACATAAAAGTAACTCTGTAATATAATATTTCGTTTGTTCTTGTAATTTGACAAATTGATGTCAACGACAAGAAAAAGTTTGACAGTCCGATGCAATATTAACAACGCGATTAAAGTCGCAATAATAAATATATCTATATGTAGAAACCGCGGTTTATTAATTATGCATCGAGCGATATTGCATTATGCCGTTGTAATTATTCATACAATTCGCATAATAGTTTCCGATATCGCGATCTAAATATGGTCGCATTGGCGACGTTTCATCGATAACCTAAATTATAGTGCAGCCAATTATAACGCACTGACACTTTTATTTTTTCAGTAGAATTCGTCAATGAATTATTATTTCTCAATTAATTGATAAGATCCGTTTCTAATAATTTATTTTA